GCGTCTGACGAAGTGGGTAGTCACCCACGAAAGCTTATGCTCCAATACTTCTGTTAGTCTATAAGTTGCCACAGGACTCCTTGTCGCTTTGTGCCAGTATATTTATGCGTGTATCTGTAATTTTCGCTCCATGCATCTGAAGCAGTGTTTTTTTTTTTTACCCACCAAAGCTTACGCCCAAATAAATCTGTTAGTCTTTAAGGTGTCACCGGACTCGTTGTTTTTGTGGATACAGACTAACACGGCTACCCATCTCATAATTGACTTTAAAGGGAACTCTGGGCAATACATCAGAGGGAAGAATTTGGCCCTTGATATTTAACAATATTTATCTCCAATTTTAAAAGGTAGAAATGACAAAGCTAGCAGTGTATCTGACTGAATCTTTGATCAACAAGGAGGAAGCAGTTGTAGGGAACATGTTAAAACAGACAGGAGTTCAACTAACAAAGGGCTATTAGCACATCATATGCTTGAGTAAAAAGTGCAGTGTTTGTATAATGTGCCACAAACACTAATGACTTATTTTCATGTTCCTTCTTCTGATAGAGTGGTACACAGCAATTAAAACCTTTTGGCATCTGTGATCCCACCACTTAAAATGAATCAGTAGATGCATAATTTTCATGATTCTTGGTTAAAAAGTTTAGGTCACTCAAATAGGGGTTTTATTCCATTGCGTGCTTGATCCTGTTACACCAGCTTAAATTAAAAAATAACACATTCACTTAATATCGGTAAAACTCTCCTGAAGACCAGTCCTAAGAGCCTAATTAAACTCCCACTGTAGTCAATAGGAATTCAAGTGGGCCCTATGAGACATATCTATAGTCCCTGACTCCCAGCCTTCTCACATGTCCACTAACTGTGCTGTGGAGGGCATTTAGCATATTTTAACTAACCTTTTCTTTTTAAAAAAAAAGCCTATTTTTAAACCTCTTATGCATCCTCATATACTAAAGACATCCCAGAATTTGTTTTGTGACATTATAAACACCAGTGCTGTGGTGAGTCCTATAGAAATGCCTGTCTAAAGCACTGATTCTCAGCATGTAATACAGAAGTTGTAATCTATTTTACTAACAAGTTTAACAGTATCTTCCCCCTTAGCCACAGATCTCCATATATCTAAATTCAATATTGTAGGTTGGATCTCATAAGAGCATAAGAACGGCCATACTGGGTCAGACTTATGGTCCATCTAGCCCAGTACCTGTCTTCTGACAATGCCAAGTGCTTTAGAGGGAATGAACAGAACATCGTTGGCTTGTATTTCTGCTCTCAATAGATAAACTTGATACATTGCCTGTTGTCTTCACACAAGCAGACCCTGTTGTTTTTTGTTTTTGAGAGAGAGTTTTAGCCTCAAGTAGCCTACAAGTAGACAGACCTCCTTGTATTATGATCCTGTCAGATTTTGCAGTAGAAGCAAGAGCAAGCCAGTTAAATGCTTGGATTGATGGCATTGAAGGGATGTGTAGATCGTACAAGAACTGGTGTTAATCATTCAGTATGTGGCTATTTCCCCTCTTAAATCCATACCTAATGTTTCAAGTGAGATTTACACCATGGTTCAGATTAAAAGATCCACCAGCACCTTTTCCAAAAAGTAGTGGTATTTATCCTCTTATCTTGGCTATGTTCAGTAATTAATTGTATTCAGTCTACATAAATTCCCTGTGCCGTTTAAATTGGATAAGATTGTGGCTGTGTCATGCACCTTAACTTTATTTCTTGGTTTTTAGAGGTTTCAATTTAGCCACTGTACACATTCTGGAATGGCACAAGGTACCACTGGGCACCCTTAATTATGTGTTAGTTTTTGGGCATTTAATTTTCTTACTGAGAATTTTCTTAGTTTAAAAAAAAAAAAACCCACAATGTACCACACATCCCAGCTCTCACCCTTCACTGCTTCTGGTTGCTTTGCTTGGCACTGATTACCCTGTCACAGAACACACTGGCTGCATGTTAATTCCTTCACTGCCTCTGCATCATCTCCTGTCTCTTTGCCTGTCCAGCACAGCTTGGTTCTCTCTCCTCCCCACAAGAGGCAGGTGTCACCATCAAACTTGCTGGTTGAGAAACTGGGTAGAGGGTGCAGAAACAGTGCAGGGGCTAGCATGGAGTCGGTGAGGATTTTTTTTTTTTTTTTTTTTTTGGGGACACACATAGGAGACATGGATGTGGAGGTTTTGGGGGAACAGATAAAGCCCCCCAATATCCCTCGCTGTCCAGCTTGGCCCCCACCTTTCCACCTTCTCTTCAATGTACTGTTCCAACACCCTCCCCCACGTTCTCTGATCTCCCATTTTCTCTAACTGCTCAGAGACCCCCATACTGCTCCAGTTCTTCTAACAGTCTGTTCATCACACCCATGCTATGACTACCTGCATATCCCTGCTTTTCTGAGCCCCACACAAATATCCCTCCACTGTTCTAAGTTACCCCACCTCATCAACTTCAACCCGCGTGTCCCCCCCCCCTCGCTCA